GGCATATGACCACAATCTCCATATAAAAATACCCATCAAAACTTCGTTCACTGTTCCCGTGGTTTTTCATCTTAGTCCATTTTTAAATGTTGAAATTGTATAAGGAATGGATAGATTATGCAAAATTGTCTGTCTTCAATTAGTTTTTGTTTTCTGAAAACCGCGACCGTTTTTGAACGCGATGGATAAATCAGTGTTTATAAATCTGTCAACTACTATGCTTTTATGGAGTGTGTAATTTTATTTCAATTTACAGTAAAGTACAAAGAAAACCTGATTTTTATGCATATAGTGGAGTGAACATAATTTTTCAGATGCAAGTTCGAAAATGAAGCGTATTATACAAGTACAGTACTGTACATTATATTTAGTGGAGCCTCGATTTGCGCAGCGTTGGATGAAGGAAAAGATGAAATTCAGTTGAATTAGTTATTCTTGTGTGATACTGATCATATATTTTTATTGCTTCTTTCTCATGGAAATTCAGATATCCGTGTACACTCTTCAATATGCTCGTATATTTTGCGGTATATAACAGCATATCCTTTGCTGAGCTGTTCGCTGATATATTCCAAGATAGACGAATCACAAAGGCTTTTGACCAGCTTTGCTCAGAGCTTCATTCTGCGAAAAGTTGGTAGCAAATATGTCAGGGATTTCAAGAACCACGACGAGGAACTTTTTTTTTTTTATGAACTCACGAAAGCCCTCTTGAATTCCTTGTCGCATTCCGAAAAAAACTTGGCTTTTTCCTGCTCAAACGTGTCTCCTTTCGGCCCAGCGGATTTGGTCTTCGGGTCCAGGTTTTCAAGGACGATCTACGCATAAATAATCGATCCCGGAGAATTATTATAATTTTTTTTTTCTTTTCGATACGCTCTGAACCCGGTAATTGTAATGGGAAACGGTTTTACTTGATGGTAAGTGCCAGCCTTTTTGAGTGCCGTGAAAGAGCGTTGGTTTTCCGCTTGGGTTTCCTTGCCGAGTGCTGTCAGGAGTTGGTGATGGGTTTGGAGATAGACCCCGTCCTCGATTTGTTTCTCGTACGACTGCATCCATTCCCTGATGTCGATCTCTGGTGCTTCGTTCACTTGGAACCTTCCGTCCCAAACTGCCATATCCAGACTTGCGCCGTTCTGTATAGGGAGATTCCGAACATTGCGATACACGCACAGTATATAGTGTCCTAATTACAGTACAGTGTTCCCCAACCTTTTTGGGTCCGCGGACCGGCGGCAAAGTTTCGTAAAAATTTTTTAAAGACTTGAAAAACATTTTGCTTGATAGAGTTTATGGCAGATATTTAAAATTCGCTGCTTCTTGCAAAAATTAAGTCAAGCACCTCGTATGAAGCTACTACAGCTTGATATGATCAAAAACTTAGAAAGGTGGGCTTCAGAATGAAAAAAGGAAATAATTTATTTTATCTGGTGAAAATGCGTTTGAAATGTTATTAGGAGGAAAGCCAACTTTTATTTTTCATCAAATGGCGGATGCTGAACTTGGAAGCGGGGGTTCATTTGTCCGAATATAGTCTTTAACCTCCTTTTAAAACACGTCAAATTATTTATTTTATTGCTTGTCTCTTACTTGTGTAGATAAAATAATAGCCAAAAAGGCCTCAGAAAATTCGAGTTACCGAGGATGAAGGATGAGAAAAGCCTTCAAATTAGAGGTTTTTGATGCTTTTTCCCCCCCAAGAAAATTCAGACGGGGATTTAAAAAAAAAAATCGACTTGGGGACGCATTCGACTTAGAAAGTTCTCATTCAGGCTTTTTATTTGAAGATTAAATCTTATACTTTATGAGCAAATCCAGACTGAAAAATATCCGCGAAATATACTTCATTTGAGAACCTATAACCGAAAAATGACGTTCACTCCACGGAATAACTGAAAAAAAAACTACTGCACTGTATATTATTGATGCATAGAAATTACAAAACAGTATTGGACAGATTTATCAACACTAATTTATCTATTTCTCTCAACAACAAGAAACAGCTCGCGAAATTTTTTTTTAAACTGCAGTTATTAAAACTGGAAAAAGTTTCATTAACCATCCATTCCTTCTCCCATTTCAGCATTTACAAAAAAAAAAACGAAGACTAAAGAAGGCACGCGAATTTTAGATAAATTTTTACGTGCGGGTAGTTTTCTGTCATTGTGATCATATCCCACGCATCTATACTGCGAAATAAAGAATGAATCATTAACTGGATAATTATACAGTATTTGTTTGGATTCCTTCGTGGTGATCCTAATTATTCAAATATGAAAAAACGTGGAATATCTTGTCATAATGCAGCAAGGACGCGCGGAACTTGGACAGGAAAATTCACATTCTGTCGCCTCCGGAAATACATGTACAGTATCATCTTTCGATTTTTGCCACAAAACATGTGAAAAAAAGTGAAAGAGAGAAAAAAAATTGGGAAATTGACAGACAGTCTACTTGAAAATCGCTTGAAATAATTGTTTCTTCTCAAGCTGAAATGAGTCATAAGTTATTTAAGATGATTAGTTAACTTTATGTGAATAGAGCTGAATTCGTCTCTCACGTGGTCTTTTAAAGGAGAAGCCTTGTCTTTCACGTGTTTCACGAGGACTTGGTTGAAGTCAGGGAAGGAGTCGACGCATTCCTTGAGAATATCTGCAGGAATCGGAGCTTTGAAAAGAGGCAGAGAGTATTCTCCTTGAATCAAACATTTCCTGTTGAGAAATCAAAAAAAAAAATCAGCGCGGGAAATAATTTTGGTTTGCCATATTTATTCACTTTGAGAAANACGATTTGAAAGAAAAAAAAAAAAGATTACTCAAGTGAGTTTTATCATACCTGCGAGACAGAATGCTTGCTGTACAACCACTGACAGCCCGGTTTTTTGATCATACTTGACAAACCTCTGAATGTCCACAGGCTTATTCTTGTTTGCCAGTGCATTAGTCAGCCACTTTTTCAACTCTGGCCCATCAGGTGTTGTCGCAGCTCCTGTTAATTTCTGGATTTCCCTTGCCTGAAAGGTGGTATGAAGGAAAAAATAATTACAGTATTCATTCAAGAGTTCCCATCAGTGTTCCCCAATTTTTTTGGGCCAACAAATTTCCAAATTTCCATAAAACCTTCTGCAGACCAGCAAATTTCCGAAGAATTTTCTGTGGACCAGAACAGTTTCATAAAAAAAATTCAGACTCAAAAAAATGTTTTACTTGAAAGACTGGCAGATATTTAAAGATTTTCTGCTTTTTGCAAAAATTAATTCAAGAACCAATGAAGCAGCTGCAGTATATAGTGGAATGTCTTCAAAAATATAAAGGTGGGGTTGAAGAAATGTTTCTCAAAATGAGAAATTGAAGTAGTTAATTTCAGCAGGTGAAAATTTGTCTGAAGTGTCATCAGGAGAAAAGTCAACTTCTATTTTTCATTGGATACAGTAATTTCAACTGCCAGTGTCTTTCCAAAATTTCAGATGAAGGTAACATAATTGTTGCTACTTTTAAGAAATTTATTAAATTGAAAAATATTTCTTGCAGACTGGCACCAATCTGCAAGAATCACAGGTTAGGGAACACTGTTTTAGATACAGTAATAAATCTTACTTTGTCTCCCACAGAGGCCTTAAAGTCAGGTGTACTTGCATAGTAATTATACAGTGTCAACTCTGACTTGTTTGGTTTGCATGGCAAGCTTTTGTAAAAGCCTTTCTCATATTCTGGAGCTGAAACTTCCTCCTGATAAAGAGAGTCAA